CAAAAAATCAGTCGATAGATCTTTTTAAAATCTACAACTTTCTCACAAATTTTCAATCGCTGCTATATTATTTTAGTTATCTTAGAAAAACCGTTTTTTGCAACTTTGCGATTTTTTTTAACCATGTTCGCCATTTTGGATCGAGTTTAAAGAATAAGAAAATCAATTTATAATTTAATTTACTATACGGTCATATTTTTTTTGTCCAGGTAATAATTTCTGTAAGCATTTCTCTATAATGCTTGGACTATGTGCCCTTAGGAAACATTTCCGGACCCATGTTCATATGAACTTTTTTACTTAGTTTTGATCATAGAATCGGCCTGTTCAGGGTTGGCAGCTAATTATGAGACACCCTGTATAAGAGAAGTGAACTTTACTAAATTGGTCTTATATCTTTGTTATTGAGGTAATTTGTCAAAAACTGCATTTTACAAATAATCTTTGAAAACATTCTGCAAATTGTTCAGAATAGAAAATATAAAAGAAATATTTTTATAATAAAACTTTAATGCCCTGTATCTAAAAAAATAACAATTTTTTAAATAGAGTATAACAAACTATAATTATTTTTTGATAGTCTACCTATTCCTAGTGCCAAAAAAAATGAATCATCCTATATATACACTGTATCTCAGTGTTAATCTATCAGATTTCAGGAGTGGATAGAACTAGTAAAAATATTAGTAATTTGATTTATAATTTGTTTTGAAATCTCAATCGTTTCCGAGATACAGGTTGTTAAATGTCCCCAAAAACTATTATTTACTCCTCTGAAAAAGTAGAGACATTAGAACTAAATTTGGTGCGCATTATATTGAATTATGTCATTACTTTTTATTATTCTATCCGCTCTCAAAGTCTGACAGATTAAAACCGGGGTACCTTTAGAAACACTAATTCTGTCTCTATACTAACTAAAGAATGTAACAATGTATATTAGTATCTGAAACAAAAACTTTTATATCGCAAGATATGTATGCAAGTTTAAAATTCTGTTGACTTCAGCAATCACATACGATTTGCACAAAACAATCTTTAAAAATGATAGAAACTAGCCGCTAGCTGAAAGATAGTTTGTTTTTGATTTTTTTTTATATATGCAGCCATAGGCTTCTAGAACTGTTAATGCTTTAATGCTATAATGCTTTATGTGTGTATCCAGATTACTACCATACAAATATAAATTACATTATTACTGAAGCATACATTGCGTTTACTGTAGCTCTATTGTTCTACTTATATTACCATTTGTATTCTGGTTGCCAAGTTAACACTTTTGTCCTGCAAATTAAATAAAGTAACACATAAAAAAGAGATAAAGAAGCTTAGTTGTTGAAGCCAAACTAGAACACTTAATATAATGGAGCTTTATAAATTGTAAATAAAAACATTAAATCTCTTATATTCTTTGGTTTTACAATTTATAAAGACCATCATATTTGAGTTGTACAAAGAAAGTACCTGGCAACAACATGACGATTTCTCTTTGGTCCGTCATGTGAATGATCTGTGGGGTCATCTATTGTGTTTCTCTTCCCAACTTCTTTAATTGCCTTCGATGGAATAAGTAAATATCCATAAGAGTCCTCCTGCAAAAATAATTTACTTTCATAAAAGTAAAATTTGTTATAAATTGCCATTACTTATTATATTTGTAAAATTGATAGTTATATTGAAATTATACATATATAATTTGGTAAATTCCCTAGCTCCAACAAAATTGACCAAGAAATTTGAAATAATAGAAATGGTTCTAAATTATATCCAATTTTAGTGATTTTTAATAATTATTCACAATACTAACTTTAGTTATATTCTATAATTTTGACAGTTGGTTATTTTAAATATTTAAAGAACAGGTTACAGAACGTGATGTACGAAAAATAGCAGCATAAAATAAAAGAAATATCAAGAAATTAACAACGGTGTCAATGTTTTTTCCAGATATCAAGTACTACTTGCAATGCCAAAAAATAAGTCTATAATATAATTAATTATAATCATTAATGTTGCCACAACCTAACAATAAGCATGCAAAACACAAAAAACAGTCTGCAAGTGGTGGGAAATATTTCTTGTCAACTTTTGTTGGAAATATTTCCATGGAAAATTTCCAAGGAAATATTCCTTGGAATTATTCACATGAAACATTTGGCAACATTCCCGAAATATATTTTGGGAATATTTCCAAAAAAATATCTTCCCGGCAATTTCTCATCTATACATATGTCTATTAAGGTTTCATATTATTGTTATCATTATTTTCATATTTATTTTTATTCTACAGGGTGTCCCTGAAGAGGATGGACAACACTTGACCACAGATTCCTTGGATGAACATAAGATTATTTAGCCTGTTTTACCTATATACAAAAGTGCACGCCTACTGAGAGTAAAATTGGAATTTATTATACATTAAATATAGTAAAAAATTCCGATTTGTAAAAAATAATTTATAACTACAGCCTCAAAGCAGGGAATAATAATGAAAAAACGACACATTCAAAAAAATAACTACACATTTTTAGTGTTAGTATTATCAATCAATAAAATAGTCAACACTAATATTTTAAATAAACAATATCAACTAATAATGAGAAAGTCAACATTAACATTTTAAATAAACCTAAATTGATATACAGGGTGGTCCGAATTTTATGCAGGAAACTTTGAGGGCAGATAGATATTTTTAAAATAGTAGGTGTTTGCCTTATAAACGTAAGTCTGTAACGGTTTCGTTTTAGAGATACAGGGTGTTAAAGTTGTTAAAAAAAATTATTTTTTGTTTATATCTCCGGAATCCATAGACCGATTTCAATAAAATGTAGTACAGATAATGTATGATAGTAGGCCTTGTATTCCCTAAAATATTTTTATAAAAAAACCTACACCACTGTATTTTTTACAAGCTATTGTAACGAATTCATATTCTAACGCACAAAATACGTAAAAAGGTAACTTGAATTTTTTCCCTACAGTTCACCGTTCTCAAGTTATTCATACCTCCCCTTGTGGGAGACACTTCTAACCATAATATTACAAGAATATTTATGTTTATGCTTAAAAGTAAGTGCAATATGTAAGCACATCTACAAAATTCTTTACACTCATTGCTTTCATCTTTTTGGATTAAAATAATATTTGGAAAATCACACAAAGGAATGAAAGGCACAGAAATGAAATTTTAAAAGCATTTGACGACGATCCTCGGCTAAGTACACGAAGAACGTCTCGGCAACTCAGGGGTGAGTAAATCGAAAATTTGAAAAGTTCTACGTAAGGATGGCAGAAATCCGTACCATTTACAACCTGTGCAAAATTTACTTCCGGGAGATGCAGAGAGACGCCTGAATTTTTATCAATGGTTGTTTGAATTCTTACTAGAAATACTTTGGACCGATGAGGCTACGTTCACAAGGTGAGGGGTAGTGAATTTTCACAATCTGGATATTTGGTCACAAGGTCATGAAATTCGGAGTCATTTCTAAACTTTATAAAAAACCATCTATTTGAATCATTAGAGGATGTTCCATTAAATATACGACAAAATAGCTGGATACAAATGGATGGTGCTCCTGCGCATTTTAGGAGAATAATACAAGAATGGCTTAATGAAAATTATATGAAATGATGGATAGGTAGAAGACCAAATGCCAATGTCAACCATAATTGTGCAGAGGGTCCAGTGTCTTGGCCAGCCAGAACGCCAGATCTAAACTCCTTGGATTTCTATGTTTGGGGTGACCTACCTGAAAAGTTTACTCTACTCCAATAGATACTAGACCACAATTGCTGCAGCAAATAGAAGACAGGTGTAATGAATTAAAAGAAAACCACCACATGATATTGATATTAGTTTCAATTAGTTCCAATAATAGAAGATGTCAGAAATGTATCGATGTGGGTGGTTCACATTTTAAACAATTGCTGTACATACGTAACGTTAATTTTGTTTCTTGTTTAGTTGTTGTTGCTTGGTAACAGTGTATTTTTATTATTATTTTGATTTAAATTGTTCTTATTTGTAAAGATAATGCCTCCAGGGAAAACTAAAACACATTAGGAACACTACCTCACAAGTGATGTGGAAAGAATTTTGTTGTGCTTACAAATTGCACTTACTTTTAAGCATAAACATAAATATTTTTGTAATATTATGATTTGAAGTGTCTGTCACAAGGGGATTGTATTTGTATGAATAACTTGAAAATGGTGAACCTTAGGGAAAAAATTAAAGTTACCTTTTTTACGTATTTATCCGTTACAACTTGTAAAAAATACAGTGGCGTAGGTTTTTTTTATAAAAAGGGGGTGAACCCTGTCCAGTTGTACACCACTGGTTAAACCTTTAGAGCTCATATTTTAGGGAATGCAAGGCCTACTATCGTACATTATTTGTACCAAATTTTATTGAGATCGGTTAATAGATTCCTGAGATATAAACAAAAAATAATTTCTTTTTAACAATTTTAACACCCTGTATCTTTAAAACGAGGCCGTTCCAGACCTATGTTTATAAGGCAAACTCCTATTATTTTAAACAGATCTATCTGTCCTCGAAGTTTCCTGCATAAAATTTGGACCACCCTGTATGTAATCACATTAAAATAATATTACAGTAAATGCTCAGTGACTTTCTTGTTCTTAAACGCAACCATTAGTTCTTAGAAAATTAAAATGAAGTTTATCCAATAATTGTGCATTACCTCTCATAACATTAATTTCATTTTGTATTTTTTCCATAATTCATTTTCTGTATTTACTAAAAAGTTATAAACTGTCGTCCTCGATGCTTCTCAAAGGAAATAATTACATGGGTTTAGGTCCGGGGATCGAGGTGGCTATTTTAAAAAGGCATTATTTCCTCTACCTATTTACCTGTTAGGATAGTACTGGTCTTTTAATACTCTATTAACAGAACTTTTTGAAAGCCAACCTCTGCCGCTAAAGGCCTTGTATTTACTTAGCGCAATTTTTTCGATGCTTTTTAAAAATTTGTTCCTCAATGTTACAGGTAAAAAACGTCTCTCCGCATTAGCAATTGTTTTGTGATTTGGAATTCTTCGATTAGGAAATCTTTCAGAATATGCAACAGTAATCAACAATTTCCTTCACAATAATCAAAAACTAATAACATAACAGTTTGTTCAGCAAAAGTATAAATTGCAATAAAAAACAAAGTAAGCTAAAATTAAATGACACCTGAACTGAACCTTTTAATTATTGTTATGAATTTGTTTCTTTGTTATATGGCAACTCATACTAGACTGTTCTAATTAACTTATTTTATATTATTTCATGTGAAAAAAATGTAAATTTTACTCGAAATCCATAAACTATATCAAAATTTTGTGAGGCAAAAAATCTTCTGAAATAGTGCTTATTTTTTAAAATAAAAATTCTGTCATTGGCGGACACACAAAAAAGTTATGGGATAGTCCATAGCGCACGGGTACTAGAAAGAGAACATCCTGTATATGTATTCTCACCAAATTCTGTATTTACATTGCCCTTATATAAAAACATAAGTGTATCAAATTTGAAGTTTCTAAGAAAAACAGTTTTAAAATTATTTGGAAAAAACTAGGTTATCTGTTCTATATTTAGAAGGCTATATCTCAGTAGGCGTGCACTTTTGTATATAGGTAAGTTAGGCTAAATAGTCCTATTTTCATCCAAGGAACCTGCAGTCAAGCGTTGTCCATCCTTTTCAGGGACACCCTGTACAAGATGATAGTGTCAAATTACATCAAGTTGGCGGATTTATTGTAATGTAAAAATTTGCTACAAATAGGTATAATAATTCTTGAACAATTGAATGGATCAAAAATTAAAAAAATATGAATCATATTTGATTTTTGTATTAAAACTTGACAGCATAATACTTAATCTATCTCATAATTGTTGGATAGCGATAATGACAAAGATAATGATGAAGATCGTAGTGATTACAGTAACAACGACAATTAATTATGATGATATCGATAATAATGAATATTATAATCAAGTAACATCAATAAAGATGCCATAACATTGAAAATAATTTGTTTATTTTGCAATATATTTACATTGCAAAATTCGTTCAAAATCTTTTTGTCATGGAAGTTTTCTATATGACATGTTTCATTATCAAAATAGCTAAGTTAGGAGCAATTGTTCTCAGGAGAAAATTGGATGAAATTCACATCACTAGCGATATTAATAATAATAAGATAACCCTTCTGCTTAAAAAATACCATATTTTTCGACTCTAAAATCTAAAATCTAAAAATGCATTGGAATAAAAACGGTAAGGCCAAAAAATTCACTCACCATTATGCAAGTTATCTCTTAAAGATATTTTATCATTACATTGTTATTATTTTCAGCTTTAAAAATAATGTGTTCTTACCAAAAATAATTCATCACTGTGGCACCGGTTGTAAATATGCATCAAAATATATATTTGAAAAATAATCATCGTACAATACATTAAAATTTGATAAGAGTGTGCTAGATCAAATCTGAGTACCCTGTATATTGATAGAAACTTAGTTTGACGAGTTCTATAAAAAGTTTTTAACACCTGTCCAGGGGGACACCTAATATAAAAATTAAAATTCTAATTTTACCTGACCGTCTTGACCTCTTTCTATACCAAGGGAGTCAAAAGGATCTAACCCATCTGCACTAGAAGATAACGGTCTTGTCCCTGAAGTAGTCCGTTTTCTATGAGCATCTCGTTTAGAATCAGATCTGAAAACATTTAAAACATGATAATTATGACTTTCAACATATATTATATACTTCATGATTACCTGCTATTCTTTTTATAAGGAATAACTGAACACACCATAAACGGTAAATGTCTTGTAGTAACCAATACAATTCGCTCATTATTGAATTTATGATCTTTAGTTGGTTTAAAAATTGTAATTTGTTTTTTGACATTCTCTGGTATAACCGCCGGTGAAGTGCTTGGCTTAATTCCTTTAGCGATAGGTTCTAAACTTTCAGAACTGCTCCCATATGTATGTCTGTCTGTTTCACTACAAACTGAAGTTTGATATGGCAGCTTTTTCCTGAGTTTAGAAGTAATATTCTTTTCAGCTTCACTTCCAGATGCTGAAGATCTGTAATTATTTTAAAAGCTGGAATTATATGAATGTTTTTGATAAAAACTGGTTTTATTTAATGGCTTCATAAAATCTTCCAATTAGGTATAATAAACATGTGTGGCCAAGTTCAAGGTGCTCACATATTTAGTTACTTGGTATCTAGATCTTTTAAACATTCGTAAATTATAAGTAAATTGATTATGTCATTAATTGTAGCAACTTTATGCTGCAACTAAATTTCAGCAATTTTTATATTTATTATGCAATTTGCATAAAAATTGTTGAAATTCAGTTACAGAAATAACGGTGCTGAAATTGTGAGAACAAAAATAATTGTATCATGGGAACTAAGCTTATATTAAATTAACACTAAAAACATTGATCTATTCAATTCTATTATATCAATGTTCCTTTATACTAATTATTAATTACGGAAAATGTTTCATACAAGTTTAATTATAAGTTTGGTTTCAATAGGTAAGTACTAAATTATATAATTATGAAAATATATATACCTACATGGTGTTCCTTAATGATATGCGAATATTTAAGAGTGTGATTCTAAATGGAAAGTTAATGATAGTTTGCTTTATAAACTATGGTCCAAAAATGTTCTGTTGCGAAGAAAAATAAAACTCGTTGCATTGTCTGTAATTAATTAATGTAATCAATAGCTTAGATTTCTTTTCATGGGGCCATCTTAAAATGCTAGTGTACACAAGTCCCATTAATACTATAGATAAATTAAGAGAAAGAATAATTGCAGCAAGTGATAGAATAAAAAATACTCCGGGAATATTTCAACGAGTGCGCAAATCCATGACAAGGAGGGTGGAAGCATGCATATTAAGTGAAGGAGGCCATTTTCAACAATTTTTGTAACAATAGTTGTAATGTTATGTTAATGTTGTATGTTGTTAATTGTTGTTGTTCATTACACGCCAGTAATGTATTTAATTTTTGCTATTAAATTAGAAATAATTTACTCAAAACCGGCGCATCACAGGACAAAAACTCAAAAGAGTTCTTATCTTTCGAATTGAACGGGGATTTCAAAAATAATTTTATTTGGGAAAAAAACCATTGGCGTACCATTTTTTTCTTAAAAATATCAGTCAGTGCTTGTACACAGGCCACTTTTAGAGCTAAAAATTATATTTGTAATGAAAAACATGCGCTTTTATTAACTATCACTGAAATATCTCAAGCGGTTTCGGAAATATTAATTAATTTCCTTCTTTTTCCTAAAATTTTAAAACCACATATTTTCGCAACGGAATATTTTTGGAGCATAGTTCTGTTTATAAAGCAAATTATCATTAATTTTCCATGTAGAATCACACCCTTAAATATTCACATATCATTAAGGGACACCTATACTGGAATACTTATATTAACATTAAAAATTAACTACAAGATATTGAAGTTAAGTAGGTATTGACTAAAATCTTTATACAGGGTGGTCCGAATTTTATGCAGGAAATTTCGAGGACAGATAGATCTCTTTAAAATAATAGGAGTTTGCCTTATAAACATAGGTCTGGAACGGCCTCGTTTTAGAGATACAGGGTGTTGAAGTTGTTAAAAAAATATTATTTTTTGTTTATATCTCAGGAATCTATTAACCGATCTCATTAAAATTTGGTACAAATAATGTACGATAGTAGGCCTTGTATTACCTAAAATATGAGCTCTAAAGATTTAGCCAGTGGTGTACAACTGAGCAGGGGTCACCCCCCTTTTTATAAAAAAAAACCTACGCCACTGTATTTTTTACGAGTTATTGTGACGGATTTATATTCTAATGCACTAAATACATAAAAAAGGTGACTTGAATTTTTTCCCTAAGGTTCACCATTTTCAAGTTATTGATACAAATACAATCCCCTTGTGGCAGACTTCAGATAATTAATATTACAAAAATATTTATGTTTATGCTTAAAAGTAAGTGCAATTTATAAGCACATCAACAAAATTCTTTCCACATCACTTGTGACGTAGTGTTCCTGGTGTTTTAGTTTTCCCTGGAGGTATTATCTTTACAAATAAGAACAATTTAAATCAAAATAATAATAAAAATACATTTACCAAGCAACAACAACTAAACAAGAAACAAAATTAACGTTACGTATTTGCAGCAATTGTTTAAAATGCGAACCACCCATATCGATACATTTCTGATATCTTCTATTAATGGAACTAATTCAAGCTAATATCATATGGTGGTTTTCTATTCGCTGCAGTAGTTGTGGTCTAGTATCTATTGGAGTAGAGTAAACTTTTCAGGTAGGTCACCCCAAACATAGAGGTCCAGGTAGTTTAGATCTGGCGATCTGGCTGGCCAAGACACTGGACCCTCTGCACCATTATGGTTGACATTGGCATTTGGTTTTCTACCTATCCATCATCTCATATAATTTTCATTAAGCCATTCTTGTATTATTCTCCTAAAATGCGCAGGAGCACCATCCATTTGTATCCAGCTATTTTGTCATATATTTAATGGAACATCCTCTAATAATTCAAATAGATGGTTTTCTAGAAAGTTTAGAAATGACATTGAATTTCATGAGGATTTTCTTGTGACCAAATATCCAGATTGTGAAAATTCACTACCCCTCACCTTGTGAACGTAGCCTCATCGGTCCAAAGTATTTCTAGTAAGAATTCAAACAACCACTGATAAAAATTCAGGCGTCTCTCTGCATCTCCCGAAAGTAAATTTTACACAGGTTGTAAATGGTACGGATTTCTGTCATCCTTACGTAGAACTTTTCAAATTTTCGATTTACTCACCCCAAGTTGCCGAGACATTCTTCGTGTACCTACTTAGCCGAAGATCGTCGTTAAATGCTTTCAAAATTTCATTTTTGTGCCTTTCATTACTTTGTCGTGATTTTCCAAATATTATTTTAATCCAAAATGATGAAAGCGACGAGTGTAAAGAATTTTATTGATGTGCTTACAAATTGCACTTATACTTTTAAGCATAAACATAAATATTCTTGTAATATTATGGTTAGAAGTGTCTGCCACAAGGGGATTGTATTGGTATGAATAACTTGAGAACGGCGAACTTTAGGGAAAAAATTCAAGTTACCTTTTTTACGTATTATGTGCATTAGAATATAAATTCGTTACAATAGCTTGTAAGAAATACAGTGGCGTAGGTTTTTTTTTATAAAAAAGGGGGTGACCCTGTCTAGTTGTACACCACTGGTTGAACCTTTAGAGCTCGTATTTTAGGGAATACAAGGCCTACTATCATACATTATCTGTACTAAATTTGATTGAAATCGGTCGATGGATTCCGGAGATATAAACAAAAAATAATTCTTTTTTAACAACTTCAACACCCTGTATCTCTAAAACGAGGCCGTTCCAGACCTATGTTTATAAGGCAAACGTCTATTATTTTAAAGAGATCTATCTGCCCTCGAAGTTTCCTGCATAAAATTCGGACCACCCTGTAGACTCATATGCACAATTCAGAATTCTACTAAAGTATTGATTAGTCAGTTATTACTACATAAAAAATGTTAAATGATTAATATTGTTCATACTTCTACTAAATTTAATAATAATTTACGATTATTTTAGTATGTAAGTATATGTAACATATATTTAATGCAGATTTAAACATGAATTTCATTTATGAAATCCTTCTTAATACCTGTGTTTACTCTGTACTTATTTAATTATAACAACTGAAATAATGACCTTTAAGTGACTTTGTCAACAATTTTTACATAAAGCTGTTTTGTGTTTACACTTACACAATGCTACTTTTGTATTAGTTTTCTTTGCATAGTACAGATCAAATTAAACAGAACTAAGCAAAATATAAATAAATTAAAGGTATTTTTTTTGTTTTTAAAAAACATATTTTTCGATATTTTTCATATTGGACTCATTAAAAATAGAGAGACGCTTTAACATTAGGCATTATAATGTTTGTGTGACATTAACTACTGTTATTTAATAACAGTGAAGATAGTTAGAATATTATTTTCCATTAGATTTACCGTTCTCTAATCGCTTTATTTTTGGCAGCATATTCTTCAATAGAAGCCTTAATAGGTGTAATGACACCCTCAGAGTCTGAACTTAAAGAATTCACATCACTGTGGTTAATGGTTTTATATTTTTGTACACGTTTTTTTGGATTTAAAATTGGTTTCTCTTTCGAAAAATTTTGTTCTGCGTCACTGAAACAATCATCAAGTCCGTCTGACTCTTCGGCAAGGATTTCTTCAGTACATAGAAAAGGGGTCTTCGTAATAGCTCCATTACGAGGAAGTAAGGATAACCTAGTGTCCCTGTAGCTACCATCAAGAGAAATGTTAGATAAAAACGTAACAGCGGCAATTCTCCGCCTCGAGCGATTTCTTTTTAATGAAGTTGCCATTTATTATTGCTTATTTATCACTAGGTGTTATGTCACTGACACAACATTAAAAACATAGTTCTTTTATTACACATTTTTGATGTTTGTTCAGTACGTATATGGAACTCAATACTGTTTAATAGAAACAATATCAGTGTTGAGCACATAGCTATTGTTTTAATTTCACCACAATTTAAATTGTCTTTCACTTTGTAACACTACACACTATTATTCAGCAAACTATAAATATTTTCTTTTTGCTAAATAAGACGATTTACAAATAATCAATTTGACCACACCAACCTTACTAACAATTACTAGATAGCTTCAAGTAATCTGCGCATTAGTAATAAATTTTGTTGGCTGCCTTGATCACCTAGTGATGACGTTTACATTACTGATTTATTTTGGGTTATGTTTATCTTGATTGTTCAAATGTCATCAAGTTAAATTATCAACTTCAAATCCCTTTATCATTCTCATTTTATATGAGATTTGACATAGAAATGAGCATGAAGTGCTGTGAAATGTGCATTTAACTGTCTGTTTACCATAATATCGCAGTAATTATTTATAGTAATTTTTTAATCATTAAAAAGTTAATTATTATAAAAATATATTCTAGCTGTATGTGAATATACTGTCAAAGATACAAGGATGCCGCCTAAATCTACTACAAAATTATTGACCCAACTGCGAGCTTTAATGCAAAATACTAAATATGTATCAGAACCCATCCATGCGTACATTGTTCCCTCTAATGATGCACACACCAGTGAATACCTAGCAGATTGTGATCAGTATCGAGCGTACATTTCTGGTTTCACTGGATCTGCTGGAACTGCAATAATAACACATAATGAAGCCTGTTTATGGACAGATGGTAGATACTTCTTACAAGCATCTCAACAGTTGGATTCAAATTGGACTCTTATGAAGGAAGGCTTGGCAAGTACTCCAACTGAAGGTATTGTCATATTTGTTTTTTTTTACTGATAAAACCTATATTTGAGTAGATGAAAGTTTATGGAATCTGATTGAAGTGTGTGTATAAAGTTAGAAACATTTCTGGTAATACACATCACATCACAATTTAAGGAGTAAATCTTTTGCGACATTAATAACTATAGGGATTGAAAATACTACACAAACACTATTGCTATATTTCTATATATTTATAAAAAGATATTTCCTTTCGAGTTTTGCTTCGTTTTTTTTTCAAAAACCCTTAAAAAAGTTCTAGAATGAAAGCATAATTTCAAGAACTTTTAACTTTACACACATAAGTAGTTGAAGTTGATGTCTTGTTATTTTGTTTTTTTTTTAATTTATATTAATATTGAATGGTCATTACAATATTTAAGACTTGTGTTCAAGTTCATGTTGTGAATGAGAAAAAATGGCATGTTCAATATCTAAATCTTTACTACACATTTTTATATTTTTTCAATTTGTCCCCATAAATACCGTGTAGTTATGTAGCAGGGTATTAGGGTATTACATTTTATTACTTTTATGGTAAACAAGATCAGTTATCTTAATCTATTCAGCCTGAGAAATATATTGTTGATAAAAGAAAACTATAATCCCGAATTAGTGATTGATTTCATATTTTATATTGTATTTAATACATTAGATGTTTCAATGTTTCAATTTTTCATTAACTAGTATTGAAAATTGATAAAATATTTTGTATGTAAAAACGATAATGAGAATATAAAGTATGTAATAATTTGCAGGCTCATTAAAAACTTGCTATTGTTTTTCAAATGATAATAAAATATATTAGGTTTAGATAAACATCTATAACATTGAAAAATATTTACACATAGTTATAACAAAGATTAAGAAGCTATACTCTTTCAAAGCGAACAACAGTGTTGTTCCTTTAGATTTACTAGTTATGAGCATGTATTACTTAAATAATTATTTGCTGATTAATTTTTGTATGAATTCAGTTTAAAAAACTTCCTTATTACTTAGCTAAACTTTAACGAAGGATTCTTTGTCAAAAATCAACAAAAAAGTTCCTGTAAACATGAGTTTGGAAAAGCTTAATTTTTGAGATATAGGAGGTTAAAGTATGAAAGAATGCTGTTTAAATTTAAAAAAAAGACTAAAACCATTCGTTCAAATTTGTGTCTTAAATTTTTGATTATCTACAAATATATATGCATGACACAGGTTTGTTACATATGTCTGTGTAACTCCAGTATAGCAATTTTTGCAATTTCTTTCAAAACTTTTTCATATTTGGCCTGCGATTATGGCATGGTACTAAAAGCTTTCTAAAAATGTTTTGTTACAGCATATTTTAAATGTAAATGACCATGTCTAGGCAATCTTTGCTAAAAGTATCAGATCATTAAATTAATTTTTAAAATAATATTAATTTATAAAATAATACTTATTTAAGTAACCACATTATATATGAATAAATTTAAGTATTATGTGGCTTCCCTCAACAGTTTTTTTGTAACATTTAATAAATTATTTTCATTTATTTTGAATGCAGTGTATATAATAAATAGGATATATATGTACAGGAAATTTTTTTGTTAATTCGTGTTGTGAAATCGACCATCAAAATTTAGTCTCAGATTTTATAACCATTTTTTTTTATTAGTATAAAGATAATGTATCTTATAAAACCAGTTGAATAAAGTACGTACATAATATTTTGCGGGCTTATTAAAAAGATTGCTATTGTTTTTAAATGATCAAGAAAAAAATAGATTAACAATTTAGATAATTACGTTAATAGTTAAGATTAAGAAGCTGTTCACCAATTATGAAATTGTATTAAATATTTACTTGTGACGATTATTTCTTAAATGATTGATTATTATACTCTACAGATTATCAACTTAAAACGTTTGATTTTTACAAGGTGTTGAAAAGAATCATTATCTCTGAAATATCTCTTAAAATACTTAAGAAATACTATTTAACTAAAGTAAAAAATCTGTTAGATTAGTACATCGAATATATCAAAGGTGACAGAGATACTAGGGGTCACCATCACTAACAATCTCAGAAATACTCTACGTTAAGCATTTTCAGACATTCTAGAAAATGTAAATTTTTTTTTATTTCTACACTGTTTCTTGAAATGCAGCGTATCCGGATATTTCTTCATAGGACTTTTTCCTTATTTTGGCCACTTTACGTAAAATGTAAAGTTTTTTCAAATAATCTTAAAACATCCTGAAAATATATATAATAAACACATTAGTGCCATGCAAAACCATAAAAAATTTGGTACCTATCCAATACCTATTGATAAAAGTCTGGTAATCAAAACAACAAAGAAAGCTAATTTTATTATTAATTGAAATATTTTATACAGTTACTGTTATTCTGTTTGTGAAAAATTGTTTTAAAAAAATAAAAAATATTTATTTTTTGTTTTTATCAGTATTTACGGTGTTTGTCAGGACATATAACATCTAGAGATGGCTTACGAAAATTAAATTGGTCATATTTTAATAACACAACATGGACAACATACATATTTAGAGATACAGTGTGGATGATATGATTGCTATGCCCACATGATGAAAATATTTCTAATGAAATTTGCAAAATGAAAAAACTTAAATAGGGTTGGCTGACCCTTAAATCTCGAAAAGGGTTCCATGTATATTTACAAAATATTGTTTTTTTCATAATCAACTAATAGATAGAATTAAAAAAAATAATTTTTTATTCATAGTGATATTTATTTAAAATTCAATGTTAACATTCCATTTTTCATATTTCGTAATGCTGTAACTTATGAAAAATAAAAATGTTGCAAAGAGTGAGAACACTTGTTTGTATTTATCAGTTGATTATTAAAAATATTTTGTAAACATATTATCTACAACTCTTTTCGAGATCGCAGGGTCGGCCACCTCTATTATAATTAATTATTATCCCCTAAAAAAGCATATGGCTCCCAGTTTTATTATAAAAATATGATCTGTTTAATTTTCATGTGCTGTCACTGATAATGTGATAGTTTTAAATAAAACAGTTTTTGTTTAGGAGCATGGTTATCTAAAAGTCTTCCTTCTGGTTCAAGGGTGGGAGTTGACCCCAAAGTTTTTGCATTTAACAACTACATGCCTTTAAGTTCACAGTTAGAAGCAGCAGGTCATAAGTTAATTCCAGTGTCGACTAATTTGATTGAACTGCTATGGACAGAAAGACCAAAGCGTCCGACAAATCCTGTCATTCCACTACCTTTGAAATACAGTGGAAGAACTGTTAAAGAAAAACTGGAGTCCTTACAGGGTCAAATGAGAGAAAAGGATGCTAAGTATTTGTTGCTTGCTGCACTTGATGAGATAGCTTATTTTCTGAATTTAAGAGGTTCTGACATTCAATACAATCCAGTTTTCTTTTCATATGTTATTGTTTCTTTGAATGGTTTTACTGTGTTTGTGAACCCCAAACAAAACTCCTCAGAAATAAAACAGCACCTAACTTCTGAGGCCGGTAACATATATACTATAGAACCGTATGACAAAATAGAAGAGAAATTGAAGAACCTTGTAAACAATCTAGATGGTACAATATGGTTCTCTGAGGCCACCAATTATGCACTCATCAGTTTAATTCCCAAGAAAAATCTCTTGTTGACCAATATTACGCCAATACAACTAATGAAAGCTATTAAGAATTCTGTTGAAATCAATGGAATGCGTAATGCACATATTAAGGATGCTGCAGCACTCTGCTGTTATTTTTCATGGCTTGAAAAAAATGTAACAAGTTCAAAAATAACTGAAATCTCAGGAGCAAAAAAATTGTTGGATTTTAGAAAGCTACAAGAGGATTTTGTGGGTGAGAGTTTTTCCACTATTAGCTCAGTCGGGCCTCATGGTGCTATTATTCATTATTCCCCTGATGAAACCACTGATGTCCAAATAACAAATAGTTCGTTGTATCTCTGTGATTCCGGAGGCCAGTTTAAAGATGGAACAACTGATGTCACAAGAACTTTGCATTTTGGAACTCCTACAGAATTTGAAAGAGAATGCTATACTAGGGTTTTAAAGGGTCACATCAAAATAGCAACTTCAGTTTTTCCTCGTAAAATTAAAGGTAAGAATTTTTTTTTGCTGTGTATTGTACATGATGTGCAAGAGACACTTAGTTTTTTTTTTGATAGGATTTAATCAGTTTTGCAAATCTAATTCATAATTATAGTTAATTTTTATTTAAATAGTAAAGGATGATTTTTTTTTTCATTTTGTATTTTTTGGTTCGGAAAGTGAAATTAAAAATTTAAAGGTGACTGTTGGTTGCATATTTTCCATAAGCAATATTTTAAAATAGCTACAGTACCTTTGATAACATTTTTAGATGTGGAGGATAGAAAGTATGAATGTGTCAAAGTATAACAGCTATATTGTTATTCAAGATACAAAGATACAAAGTGTCGGTGTTAGCAAATAGGTATAAAGGCAAAGGGTAACCAAACACTCCAAATTTGTGGTTTATTTGTTATTTAATAATCTTATTGGTAAACATTTTTTTTCAATAATTTTTATTGAATAATTTGAATACTTTACTTTCCTTATAAAAATTGTTGTAAAAACATTATACATTAAATCACTCGAATAATAACAGAGCTGCTATATTTTGCATCACACTAGTGGATATACAGGAACGGGGTATTCCGATTTATAAGATGTAGAAGCTATTAACACAAAAAAGATGAAAGTAAGATATTTTTTATAAAATAAGCTGCATATATTAGAAATTATAAGTTGTTCACAATGGGGTGTTTGCCACCATTTCAGAAATTAACAGAAAATGCTCTATATTGTTTTATTTTTGTAAGAAATATTATTTAAGTGGAAATTAAAAAAATATAAAACAAGCGAATTTGGCAGACAGCTAAATGCTAAAAAATTGATAATGCCATTTTTCAGAACATGACACCTAAGAAATCATAGAAGCCTTAGGATCTGCAATTTTGAGGAAGTTATAGTTTCTAAATACATGTATTCCTAGAATCAATTTAATGAAAAAACTTTTAACTTCATTTGATTCTTACTTATTAATGTTAAGTACTGTGTTAATGGTTTATATAAATTGTATAATATAATTGTATAAACATCCTGTATGCAGGGTGTCTCATAATTATAGTGTCCAATAATTTACCACTTGATTCTATTGTCAAAAATATTTTTCTTATAAACATGGGTCTAGAAATGCTTCCTAAAGGAGCTACGCTCCCCTAAATGGAGCCTCAAAAAATTATTTTTTTTTTAAATATTTCTGAAAAGGGTCCAAGGAAAATTATGAATTTTGACACCTTGAATGCCCATTAAAAGTCGAAATCATGCAATGCAAACAGATGATAGACTTTCATTTCCTCAAAGAAATAAAGAGTACCTTTTTTGTAGAGGAAATGAAGGTCTGTCATATGTTGGCATCTGAATTTAGAATTTTGGCAAGTAAAAAAATAGGGGCAAATTTTAGCCGACGATCCTCCCAATTGAGACACCCCTGACTAAAATTTTAAAAAATTTTTATGATAACTTATGGTACTTTTAATGCGCATTTGTCATGTCAAAATTCATAATTTTCCTTCAACCCGTTTCGGAAATATTAAAAAAAAATGAGGCCCCATTTAGGGGATTTAGGAAGCATTTCTCGACCCATGTTTATATGGAAAAATATTATTATTTTTGGCAATAGAATCAAGTGGTAAATTATTGGATACTAATTATTAGACACCCTGTATAGCGGATTCATTTTTTTTTTTTAAGGTAACTATCTTGATTCATTTGCACGAGAGTATTTGTGGCAAGTAGGATTGGATTATGCCCACGGTACTGGTCATGGCATCGGATCCTATTTGAATGTTCATGAAGGCCCAATGGGAATCTCCTGGAAGCCCCTTCCGGATGATCCTGGACTCGAGGCAGGCATGTTTATTTCTAACGAACCAGGATATTATCAAGATGGAGAATTTGGCATTCGTATTGAAGACATCATACAAATAGTAGATGCTAACCCACCACATAATTTCAACAACAAAGGCTATTTAACATTTGATTCTGTTACTTTAGTCCCTAAAATAATAAAATTAATCATTATCGACATGTTAACTGATGCAGAAATAGATTATTTGAATAAATATCATCAACAGTGTAGGGACGTTGTTGGGCCATTATTGCAGCAACAGGGTCAGCAAGAGGCTTTGGAATGGTTAATTAGAGAAACTCAGCCAATTTCCAGATAATTTTACTTCAGCTTTCTATTTTTGACAATACTAACAGTATTTTGAAATATATTTTAATAAATTTTCTATTCGTTTTATTTACTTTACTTACCACTTGACCACTTTATACAATGTCGAAATTCATGCAACAAAATTTGGTCATAGATTCTTACGACAAATTTAGAGAAATTTAGAGGACCTGTATTTTTTCTTTTTGTTAACTGGCCGCCTCTTTCGGAGTTACAGCCCCCTGAAATCTGCCCCTAAGAAGTCTTATATCTCAAAACCATGTACGAGAATTACTAAATTTGGTACACAGGGGCTCTATGTGGAAGCTCACAGTGCTACATTTTTTGGCGAGAAACCCCCTTAAGACACTTTTTCGTGAGCCCCCTTGTCTTCGGAACCAGAAAAATTTGGTTGCAAATTTGATTTTTTTAAAAATTATTAGCTAGAAAGTCATTGAATTTAGAAACTTTTTTGTCTTGATATTTGTTTCATAAAACGCAATGTTTTTGAGGAAAATGGCGAATCACGATATGCATTCGACCACATTTTAACATTTTTCTCAAAAACATTGCGTTTTACGAAAAAAGTGTAAAGAGGCAAAAGTTTCTAAATTTATGGTTTTCTAGTGGACTAATAATTTTTAAGAAATTTAAATATGCAACCAAATTTTATTGGCTCCAAAGACAAGGAGGGGGGCCATGAAAAATTGTCTTAAGGGGGTTCCCCGCCAAAAAATGTAGCACCATCAGATTCCACATGTCATAAAACCCTTGTGTACCAAATTTTGTGATTCTCGTACAACAGGGTTCTGAGATATTAAAAAAAGATTATTCTGAGGGGCGGACTTCAGGGGGCTGTAACTCCGAAAGAGGGGGCCACTTGACAAAAATAAAAAATACGGGTTCCCTAAATTTGTCTTAAGAATCTGACCAAATTTTGTTGCATGAATTTAGGGACACCCTGTATACAACAAGTATATTTGAAGTCACAAATAGATAGAAAATATAAATATCTAACAATCTAACAGACTAAAAATGCAAACGATTTATAGGCCTAATAAATAAAAGACATATTCGTCAACAGTATAAAAGCAATAATTTAATAAAAACAATTTTGTGCATATTTGATATTGTCAATAGATTTTTTACATATTTCTGCAATACGTATTAAGTAGTTTTTTTTACTAAATTTATACAATTTCAACAATAACATGGCGTATTTAAATGAAGAAACACAAATTCCATCAAATAGTCCTGAGTCCAAAATATGATGATTGGAATTTTGAATCCAGGAGGCCTGGCCAAGGGACTTGAACCAATCCACGGAATCAGACGAAGTAGCATTAACGGAGCCCTTAATAAATGGGCCTATCAAATATCAGGTCAAAACTGGAGGATCAACAGAAGATGTACGCAGCCTCATAGCTTTATATGTATATGCTTTATATATCAGGTGCTAAAGCCATCAATAACACTAACACATTAATGTCCTGCTACAATAACTGTATCATAAAAGGAACAATCTAAAGCTGATTGTACAATTAAACGATCCGCTTCACTTTCTGCTTGACTCCATTTCGACCAGTTTTTTGCAGAGAATAATAAACCTATTTTTATTTTTGCTGTTTCCCAAGAATTTCTCTTTAGTTGTATTTAGAGGCATGTGTTCTTCAAATAAATAATCAATTAAAGTACTTATTACTTATAAATGACAAAAAATTTTTCGAGTTGATATTTGATCTGGGTCTTATTTCTGCTTGGCCTTAAACTAAGAAGTTGAAAAAATTTGTCCAATTAATGCACAGGGTGTTTTTACGATGAATTTTCAAAAATTGTCAAGAGTAAAGTACCTTTGTTTTTAAACATATCAAAAATATTTACTTCATAAAGTTATTGAGAACTAAAAGTTATGACTGATTATCAATTTTCAATTTACTCGGCAAACTTTGTTTTTTTTTCTTTACTTTCAAGACGGACACCCAGGGCATTCAACGCGAATCATTATGACCCAATTCCTTGGCCTCCTAGAGGTCCTGATTTAACTCTAATGGACTTTTATTTATGGGGCTATCTCAAGCAGAAAATCTATGGGTCCCCGTTGATTAACGATTTATTTGAATTGAAACAAATAATAAAACAATTAATGCCATCCCCATTCAAGAAATCCAAAATGCCTACACAGAATTTACAAGCGCGCTGAGCGATGTGAAACGGTTGATGGCAGCACATTTGAATAACCATTTTATTATTTGTTTGTTTATGTTTACTTATTAGGTATATTAGTTACGTTTTTCTCTCTAATAAATAATTAGGAATGTGTACTTTGTGGTTGTGAATGAAAAAAAAAACAAAATTGGCCGATCAAATTGAAAATTGACAAACTGTCATAATAGTCCACGCAGTATCTGTTTTATAAAGGGTATACTTGGGTAAAACGCATATGATCGGAGATTTTTGCTTTAACGGCTTCTAAACAACATTAGAAATCATAATTTTTCTATGCAAATAAAAAAAACGTGGGTTTAATTGTTATTGCAAAAAAGTATAAAAAAATAGCAAAAAAATTCATTTTTTTCTTGGATTTCTCGTCGACAACTTAGCAACTGTTCATTTTAGACAAAAATGGAAGAGGAAAAAAGTTTTGTAATTACATATTGATCAAGATAGAGTTAGTTGCAATTCGAAAAAATAATTATTGTTATTGCAAAAATCGGAAAAATCATTTAAAAAATGGCAAAAAATGCTAGTTTATTTGTCAATTTTTTTCAGACACTTGAATAATACCTAGGATCTTCATACTTTTCCCAATTAAACTTCTTAGTGCATAGAATCATCACACCAAATTTTATCCAATTCGGTTAGATAATTTTTACATAATAATTGTTTAAATTTTTTATTTTTTTTAAATTAAAAAATTTTCAAAATCAAATTTCTAAAAATCTAAAGCCTTTGAATACTTGAAAATTTCAACGCAAAAAGAGGAAATCTCAAGCTTTAAAATGGATTATGAAAAATTCAATTCGGACGCTTAGGTGAGCCGAGGTGATTGTTTAAATATTTTCGCAATTTTCACGCTTATAAAAAATTGCAATAATTTAATATTTTTTCATTTTTTTTATTTTAAAATATGGTTTGAAAGTACTCGGAAAGACGAGTACTTTAAAAAAAAACCTGATGATCCGCCCATTATTTTCGGATTTATACCCCTTATTTACAGCAAAACTATAAGGGTATAAGGGCTGTTTTTTGAACTAATAGGTGTGTCATCCCGAGTACTTTCCAGATATAAATTTTCAAAATTTGCAATCACGGGCGTCCCATTTAAAATGTCACTCAAAGATATTCCAGACCGCGTGAAATCAGTGGTAGGGGGAGCAAACACACATCTACTCCGATCTGAATTTTCGAGTTCAAAACTGCGACGCTCGGAAAAATTTCACTTATCTCAGCTTCTAATGGACCAATTTCGATGATTTTTTTTTAAATTGATGTCTCGCTACTTAAAAAATTCATTTATCATATGGGACTTTTGACATACAGATAAACAGTTACTTTAAAAAATGATTAATTTATTATGTTTATTTATTTACTATGTTAATATTCACGACCAAAATTTTTGCATGTTGCACCAGGTAATACTAGTAAGTTTGTTTAAATATTATAAAATTGTTTAATCAATAATTATTTAAATAAACAACTGAAAATTAGTATTAATTTTTAGTTGTACAATAAATTTCTAAAAATCTTTCAAAAAAAATAAATTTTAATTTTTTCGTTTATTCTTAAAATATTTATCTAAAAATTATTTTTTATTTATATAAAAAAAGTATAAGAATCTTTTGGATACTTCAATAAACAGTACACACTTTTCATGATTTTTCAAATTTTAAACTATTTATTTCAATTTTTATTTACATTTGATCTAATCCAATTCTTTTACTAGTTGGTGATTTTTCACATGCCTCATCAGTATTATCACAATCTATTTCGTCGTCGATTTCCTCCTGCAACTGCAAAATATCATTTTCTAACGACTGAAATCTGATTGTCGAGTTCTATTGCACTTTCTTCTGACATTCTTCTTCAAAATCGATTTTGAACTCGTCTGCTTTCACTGTTTTGTAAGCATTTCTACACATTTGCCCTTGGCAATGGGTGTAATACTTCTTCAAAATCTAGTGAAAAAAACATTAAATTATTGCAATTATTTATAAGCGTGAAAATTGCGAAAGTGTTTAAACAATCACCACGGCTCACCTAAGCGTCCGATTTGAATTTTTCAAAAACAATTTTAAAGCATGAGAGCTCTTCTTTTTGTTGTGAAACTTTCAAGTATTCAAAGGCTTTAGATTTTTAGAAATTTGATTTTGAAAATTTTTTAATTTAAAAAAAATAAAAAATGTAAACAATTATTATGTAAAAATTATCTAACCGAATTGGGTGAAATTTGGTGTGATGATTCTATGCACTAAGAAGTTTAATTGGGAAAAGTATGAAGATCCTAGGTATTATTCAAGTGTCTGAAAAAAATTGACAAATAAACTAGCATTTTTTGCAATTTTTTAAATGATTTTTCCGATTTTTGCAATAACAATAATTATTTTTTCGAATTGCAACTAACTCTATCTTGATCAAAATTTAATTACAAAACTTTTTTTCCTCTTCCATTTTGGTCTAAAATGAATAGTTGCTAAGTTGTCGACGAGAAATCCAAGAAAAAATTGAATTTTTTTGCTATTTAATTATACTTTTTTGCAATAACAATTAAGCCTACATTTTTTTTTATTTGCATAGAAAAACTATGATTTCTAATGTTGTTTAGAAGCCGTTAAAGCAAAAATCTCCGATCATATGCTTTTTACCCAACCCGAAACAGATACCGCCTGGACTATAACTTTTAGTTCTCAATTACTTTCTTAAGTAAATATTTTTGGTATTTTTAAAAACAAAGGTACTTTACTCTTGACCATTTTTGAAAATTCATTGTAAAAACACCCTGTACATTAATTAATTGGACAAATTTTTTCAACTTCCTAGTTTAAAGTCAAGCAGACGATGCCCAGAAGCTCAAATTTCA